TGGGTGGGTGAGGGGTTGCCTTATATGAGTGGGCGCGGCGGATGCCTTTTCCACGCATCTTCATTTGACAGGAGGAGGAAGAGGTGCACACATACGGACGGTGAAATATCCCTATCCGTTAATTGTATTTCGTTTTGTCGTTGAACTCTTTTTTTTTTGTAAAGGTTTATTATAGGTATATATATATATATATGTCTTGTTGCTTTGTTCTTTGCCTTCTCCCCCTTTTTGTTTTTGTTTTTTTCCCCCTTGTTGCTTCTTCCTGTTGTGGTTACACTTGTTTGGGTTTTTCTCCACATGCGCTTTGTGTTGGCGCTGTGCGGGAGTGAATGTTGGCCTTGCGGGTGTCATTTAGTGAGGGACTGAGCGTTTCGCGTCCCCTTCATGTTGTGCCGCTGTATAGTGGCATCTATTTTGGACGAATTTAAGGGAAAACCGATGGATGACGAAAAAACAACAACAACAACAACAACAACTTTTTCTCCACTCGGCATGCCTAACTTGTCATTAGTGCCTCGTCTCCTCTATCTGGAGACGCACATGCACCTCCTCTCCACCATTATTATTGTATATATTTTTCTCTTTCCTTATACAGCAACAATATTGCGTCTTACGTGCGTAGGCAAACGGTTAGGTAAGTTCAAATAAAAAGAAAGAAAGCTGGAAATAAACACATTCAGTGCATATATACATATATAACGAGCTAGATAGAGAGTGTGAGAGAGAGCAGGGCTGCGGATAAACGGCATGCATGGTAATCATCTGGAGTGTGACGAGGATACGATATATTTTTATTCCCCACGTACTGTTCCACCTGCCCTCAATAAATACACCAAGCTGATTTCAGATCTTCTTCAAAATTCCCCCATCATCGATGCTCTTCCTGGTGGCGCCCCGGAGGCCATTGCCCTCTGCCAAGATGCAAAGACAGTGCTTGAGAAGGAAAGTGTTGTGCTAGACATTGATGTCACTGAAAGAGATGATTTGATTATTGCTGGTGACATCCATGGTCAATTTGCGGACCTGCTACACAATGTGCTTTCGATGCAGCTGATGCAGAGAACCGATGTAGGTGTCTCTAGTAAGACATTGGGTTCAGAGTATAAGTTTTTATTTTTGGGTGACTACGTTGACCGGGGCCCACGCAGTGTTGAGGTGATCACCCTTCTTCTAGCCCTAAAGATAGAATACCCTGCTCATGTGTTTCTGCTTCGTGGGAACCATGAGGAGGCACAGACGTGTCGCGTGTACGGGTTTTTCCAAGAGTGTCGTGTAAAATTGGAGGGAAGTGGCAGGGGCATAGGCGGTGGCTCCATGAATATGTCAGGCAGCGCCTGGTTGCATTACAATATGGTGTTTTGTTGGTTGCCACTCGCAGCTGTGGTGCGATGCCCCGCTGGAATGTTCTTCTGTGCTCATGGTGGTCTCAGTCCTAAAACGAACTCCATCGCTGGTCTTAAATCGCTTCGTCGAAACGAGTACGGCCAGCTTTTAGAGGCTTCGTCAAGTCTGTATTTTTCTTCACCCACAAATGACAATGACGGGGAGTTGTCATCTGCCGATGAAGGAATCATTGTCGATGGGCTGCTGTGGTCCGACCCCAATGACGAGGTCTACGGCTTTCAAATTAATCATAGAGGGTGCGGTTTTATCTTTGGACCTGATGCCACGAAGAAATTTCTCGATCTCAATTACGGTTATTCTTTTAAATCACGACTGCCAGGTGAGCAGCGTGAAGAGTTACAGTTTGTTGTTCGGGCTCACCAGTGTGTTGAGGATGGTTATCACTGGGTTCATGGGGGTCTTGTGCTCACGCTGTTTTCTGCCCCACGCTACTGCGGCTTGAACAACAAGGGGGCCTTTGCTGTGCTGCGCGGCAGGGCAAACGTCGGAAGGGACCGGGTTTTTTTTGAATATAAAGTTTACGACATTGCTCCAACGTTGCCAAACGGAATGCTTAGGTTGCGCACCTCCTCTGACGCTGCTGGTGCTGCTGACGCTGTGCGGGGGCTCAACGACATGATACTCAGCGACTACTTTCAGGATAATGAGTAGAAGCAAAACGTTGACTGTCATTCATTCATTTTTTTTTAAAAAAAAATATATCTTTTTTTAAGGGAAAACAGATAAACAATCCGAACAGGGGAGACAGGGACACTTTCTAATTTCAAGAAGGCGGAAAGTGTAGCGCGAGGAGACATATACTTTTTCAAAAAGTTTGAGGGATTAAATTTATTATATGCATACACACACGGATGCATGTTTACTTGGAACCAACCATTTCCAGTAAGGCATTATTGTACGCTATTTTCATCTTGTTTGGGTGGTTCTTGGTCGGACCCTAGTTCAGAATGTTCACCTGTAATGTTGGCTACACCAACGTGGGAATGGTGTTGACAGATGTTCTTTTTTTGTGCTCCAATAGTCATCTTTGAGCAACATAGCGCACAAACACACATACACAAGTACATATTTATACCTTGACTTATTTGTGGATACATAAAGATGTATAGAAGTACATATACACCCCACTCATTTTCGCCTCGGCGCCAAAGGTTGTATTATTGGCACTGTGCGCTTTTTTCCCGTTTTGCTTGTTATTTTGCTTGTTTGCTGAGGGTGGTGCTGAGTCGGTGAAGTTGAGTTCGTGAGGCGGACTTTTTTTTTTTGCCGCTCTGCTGTTTTTGTTGTTGTTTTTTTTTGAAGGGTGGGGGAGGTGGCGCTCTCGCCTCGCCCGCCTTCATCCCGTAGTTCATCAGCATGGTGGAATACGAAAAGGGTCAGGAGGACGAGGACGAAGCAATATTGCATAGACAAAAAGCAGAATAATGATTAGGATACGCTTTGAATTGTGAGGTGCATGTCCATTAATGTTTTTCATCATGCTTCTCTCTCTCTCACACACACACGCACACTGTTGCTGCCACTCCACCCACTCTCTCAAAGTATACATTTGTATACTACTAGTGCCACCTGTGGTCGTTCGCTACCACATTTGTGTGTGTGTCTTTGTCTTTTCTTATCAATGTCATAATGCAACGGCGGGTCCAGCAAAAAAAAAAGACATTGGTGTCTGCTCCTAAGAAACCAGACAACCAAACAGGAGCCCAACGAACGTGTATGTACATACTTATATGTATGTGTAACTATACGTGGCTCAAAAGGGTCAAGAATGAAACATGATGTGTCATACCTCTTCAGTATTTTTCCTACGTCTATTTAAACAGTGCACAAATGTTGTTCTTGTGGTGGTAAAGGCGATTTTTTTATTTTTCGTTCTTGCTTTTCATCTTGCTGTCTTCTTTTTTTTTTTTTTGTATTCTTCCGTTTGTGTGAGTTCGTCATTTCCCTTCTGTGCAGTTCATAACAATTCCATCTTGGATGTTTTTAAGGTTTTTTTTTTTCTTGCAGTTGTGAATACAGTTCAACTTTTTAGTGCGTGCTAACGAGTCGTGTGTGATGGATGTATTCATCCATATATTTCTGCATTTATTGTGTGTCTGCGTGTTTGTATCCGTGGGCCTTGCCTTCGGGTTTTGCACCTTCTTCGTTGCCACACTTTTGATTCACATTTGTATTTCTTTGCCTTTGTCCATTTGTTTCTCTTTTCGTCGTAGTGAGGTTCTCCTCTGACACTCCGCGTCTGCACAACACAACACTGACAAGAAGCACACCGAATAAAAATGGTTGCTCCTCGTACGAAGGCCAACTCCAAGATCCGCCGCATCGGCAAGAAGAAGGGCGCGACAATGAAGGACGTCCACCCATGGCGCTGGGTCAAGCTGTGCAGTCAGCACTTCAAGCAGGAAGGTAAGCTCATGGTGCCAAACTGCACTGAGATCGTGAAGACCTCCCACGGCCGCGAACGCGCTCCGCAGAACCCCGACTGGTACTACATTCGTTGCGCCGCCATCCTTCGTGCAGTGTACATGCGCCCTGGTGTTGGCTACGGTGGTCTGAGCAAGCGCTTCTCAATCAAGAAGAACCGCGGCAGCCGCCCCGAGATCACCACGCGTGCCTCCAAGGGACTTCTTCACTGGGGTTGCAAGAGCCTCACGAAGCTGGGCCTTGTCGAGAAGTGCGAGAGCTCGGGACACCGCATCACGAAGGCTGGACGCAAGCTCGCTGACGCGATTGCCTTCAAGGTCGCTATTCGCAAGCTCAACGCCGCCTCTGTGAAGAAGTGATTTGGGTGCTTTTGTTCTTCTACAGCAGCGTGAGGAGAGAGATCTGAACGGATTTGTTTGACTGATTTTTTTTATTTTGTTTATTTTATACTCCACAAATTGGCTTGCGTGTGTGCATGCACGACGGAGGAGAGGGGGGGGGGGACAATTGGCCCATCAGGAGTATAAGGCACGTTTTCTATTTGTCTGTTTGCTGTTTCTTTTTTTTTTTTCTATTTTCGTCTGCTGCTGGGACGCAATACCTTTGCCTGTTCGCCAGCAGGGAGGGGATACATATTGGTGTATCATTAAGTTGCGACCACCCAACACGCACACACTGACACACGTCTGGTATTTGTATCACACAATCTTTCAGTAACGTAGAGGGGAGGGGAGTGATGGAATTTGATCTCTTACTTTTCCTGAAGGAAATTCAGCTGCAGCACGGCCTGCGTGCGGAGGACTATGCACGCTACCGCCGCTACACGACAAACCGACTCTCAACGTTGCGTCACCAACTCGGCCTCGTCCAAGACTCCAAAAAATTTCAGCCGAAAGAAATTACGCCGCAGACCGCTACACGACCCGAGCATCTTCAGCTGCTGCTTCTCTGCGCTGAACGCTGCTGGGCTGCGGCGGAGGAGATGCAAGAAAATCGCCGTAATGTGGCACGCAGTGGCGAGAACAAACCTCCGGGTGGTTTCCCACCGAGTGATCAATTTCGGAAACGACTTAATAAATCTGTCAAGTGGGCCTCAAAGCTGCGCGAGGTGGCACAAACCGTGGCAGGCCCACGGTTAAAGCAAGAGACAAGAAGCTATGCCTTGGAAGTTATGGGACGTGCTGCTGCGGCGCATGGTGCAATGGCGGAGGCAAAAAATTTTTTTCTTCGGCGCGCGAGCAGTATTATGCCTTGCGTAAGTGCAGCACTCCTGAGCAGTGGATGCTGCTTCTTACCAAAGCCAATGAGATGGATGACCGGGTGGTGTACTGTATGCTGCGTCTAGGCGAAGACACTTCTAACTACAGACCTCACTTGGACCGAGAGGATACGACGGAGCAGTTGTCTGCTACAACCATCGAATGGAATGGGCGGCAATTAAATGTTGCTTCTATCAAAGTGAGGGACGCACTACGTGAGGTACGCACTCTCAATGTAGAGGCGGTGAAGACGAAGGCCTTAGAATTGGGTGGCCCTGTTCCAGTGGGGCAGCAGAACAAAGTGCTGGACCTGATGGATCGGCGTATTGGCTGCCTCAATGATGCCTTGGCTCATGCCCGCCAAGACTTACGTGCCCTCTCTGATGACAGGCAGAAGACAGAGTTGCAACTTCTGGTACACTACTTGCTTTTTCAGGTTTTTTTTGAGACATTGCAGCGTACCCTCTTTATGGTAGAAGTTTATGTTCGTCGTTTTTGTGCCACCGAAAAATCGCTTTCAGGAGGAGGCGGTAGCAGCAGTGGTACTGGTAACAATAAAGTTAATATAAACACTATCAGCTTTGGTGGTAAGAACAAGAAGGAGATACCACCATCGCAGTACGCCTCACCGCTGGAAATTGTTCGTCTGTACGATGCAGCTCTAGAGACGCTGGATGAAATGGAGCTTATTCCAGGCGTTGCTGGGCGTGCAGAGGTGGAGGAGTTTACTGCGCTTTGTCACGCCGGAAAGCTTCTTTACATGGGGGAGGGATGGCGTATCTCACGAGAATTGGTGCGGGCGCAAAACTGCTACAGGGCTTCCCTTGCTACCCTTGAAGAGGTGCCGTCGACACCGCTGGTGGAGACGCTTCGCTTGGTGGTAGAGAAGCGCTCTCTGCAGTTGGCATCCTCGGCGCTTCTCACCACTGTCCCTTCTGGTGTGGCTGTGGGCAAGGTTGGGAAAGAGATGGAGGAAAAGGAGAAGGCGACACAGTACCTTGTCGATGCCGGCGATCAAGTAACTGTCGCCCAGAGCATTATTAAATTCCCTCCGGACTACCAAGCCGTGCCCTGTAAGCCCGTATTTGTGGATATTGCGTTGACTTATGTCGACTACCCAACCCAAGAGGTTGCTTCCTGCACGAAGCCACAAAAAGAGGAACAAATTTCCGACTCCGCTGGCAGGAAGGACGAGAAGCGCTGGAAGTGGGGCTGGGGATGGCGCAAGTGAGTTATCACCGCGAAGAAGGAGCGAGGTGGAGGGCTGGTGGGGGAGGCAGGAGAAGCGTCAAAGAGACATACTTGTGCAGGGGGATAGGGCACTGCGCCTATGGGCAAGGAACATTGTCACTGCGTTTGCCGTTGCTATGCTGGCATCTCCTTTGCAGGGACAGACAACAGTGGCATGAAGAACGAAGGGAACAATAACAAAGGCAGAGGAAACGGCTCACATCCATCTAAAACGAAAACAGCAAGGGAGATATTTAAAAAATACACGCACACACAAACAGACAGAAATTTAGGCAATGAATAAATTCAAGTGCGAGTATGAATAATTTAACGCTCTCATTCTTCTTTTCCTTCCGTGATTTTACCCACCTGCCCAAATAGTTGAATAGTTTTATTACTTTCTTTTCTGTTTCATCTCACTGATGAAGTGCCGCAATTATTATTATTCTTATTATTTTGCTTCTTATTTGTTTTGGTCTTCATCGACTCTCTGCGACGCCACGTCGAACCAATGAAAATAATAATAGTGGCCCAGAATTAACTGTTTGTTTGAAGAGCGTTATATATTTGCACACTTTGCATCACAACAAGCTAGGAAGGTTAGTGAGCATCGTACTACAGTGGTAGGAACTACATTTGTGGAGCCTTTTGAAAGGAGCACTCTGCGATAAAAACGGGATGGTTCAGAATGGTGTAACGAAATCCTGTTGTACGAATATTGGCAGGCAGGTTGTGATGGATGTGGGCTACGAAGAAAGAGCTGGTGAGAATGGAGGCGAGTGGGTGTATTCACCGCCTCCCGACAATCAGCGTGAGTTCGAATTTCCTGAAGATGGACTTTTTTTTTCCTCTCGATTTGACAGTGGCAACCTGATACAGGTGGAACGTGTTGGGGCGTATCGTTATAACATGTATACTTCTCCCGACTGTGGTAATACTTCAAAGCAAACGAACAACCGACAATGGTTTCATTTTGCAATTCGTGGGGGAAGTCGTGGATGCGTAATTACCTTCACGTTTGTGGGTATGATGCACAGCAAGATGTTTACGTATGGATGGACGCCTGTGGTGGCGGTGTGCCCAGGAAAGCCCCACTACACACGGGTACCTGGTAAAGCAACCGTCATGGCTCTTGACACGATGCCGCCGACGCCAGGTTACCCCGGGTTTGTCATTAAGCCATGGCCGAATAAGACATCAGAGCCAGAATTTGCAGCAGATGGTGGGAGCGAAACTGTGGATGGGAATGGTGGTTCAGAAGGGGCTCCTGATGTCATAGAAGTGACCTTGAATACTGCCAGGAAGAAAAAGAAGGAAAACGCTGTTGCTATGAACTTAACGTTTGAGGTACGGCTGGAAATTGATGCCCCTCTCACCTCATCTGTTTACCCCCTCGGACATCCACAATGCCCGGCGACATACGTTGCCAGCAACCACCCCTACTCCTACACAACTCTACAACAATACATAAAGGCATGGAGGCAGCAAAACGTTGGTGAAAAAAAAATGGAACTATGGGGGAGTTATCTGGGAATTCAAACCCCTTGTTACCCCCATCTAAATATTTTCATCACGAGATTCTTTGCAAATCACTAGATGGGCGCAATGTGGATCTCCTCACCATCACCGATACAAATGGTCTCTGTAATGAGCGTTCTGCGTTGTATGGTAAAGGCGATGTTCCGTACTCGTCCGCAAGAGGTGCTACCAACCGACCACATCAGTTCATAGGAAAACAATTTGTTGTTCTTACCGCTCGTGTGCATCCAGGTGAATGCCCATCAAGCCACCTGATGCATGGTTGCATAGAGTTTCTACTTAATCAAAACGATCCCCGCGCCGCTGCATTACGCTCACGTTTTGTGTTTCTCATTGTCCCAATGATTAATCCAGATGGTGTTGCCAGAGGGCATAGCCGTGCAGATACCGAGGGGGTTAATCTTAATCGTATGTACAAAAGTCCTTGCAAATTAAGACATCCTGCACCCTACTCTATATTAAATATGTTGCGTTCTGTGAGCTCTGTAAAAGGTAGACTAGCTCTTTTTATTGATATGCATGCTCACGCAAACAAACGGGGAGTATTTTTTTACGGAAACTCGATGCATGCTCCAGATTTGCTTCAAAGTCTATTGTATGCAAAGCTGGTGGCCATGAACACCCCATACTTTGAGTTTCAATCCTCCAACTTTTCAGAGGCCAACATGTTCTCCACGGGAAAAACAGGGGAGGGTCGTGACACCTCCAGCCGTGTGACATTGTACCAAGAGACTGGGTTGATTCATAGTTACACCATCGAAGCCTCGCACGTCATTGGGAACTCGCTAAATTCAGTTGTGGGTCTTTCAAGTACTGCAGTAGAAGAACCGGAGGTGGTTCAAGGGACATTGTGCCCCAAGTACTCGCCATCGGTGTACGCCGACGTTGGAAAAGGTCTATTGGTGGCCTTACTTGATCTCAAGGGTTATAATCCCTTAAGCCGCCTTCCTCTTACACAGTTTCACAATGCCAAAGGTGTGCTTGCTGCGCTTCAGCGACAAATTCAGATTGAAATCGCAGAGCGATTTTTTAAAATGGCGTTCATGACTAGTGGACATGCGGCACTTGCCCGAGACCCAGGCGTGGATGCGATGTGTGCTGTGATGTCAGCTCTGAAGTCTGATGATATTCCAAACGTCATAACAATAAAAGATGGGCGAGGAATTCCTGTGGTGACAATACGAGGACTCTCAGAGTTCTTGCCACTTGATCAGGCGGTGCAGCTTCTGGCACACACATCCCCGCTGTGCCCGCCTCGCACATTACTTTGGAGCACGGGAAGACGAGCGATAACTCAAATTGGTGGTGTGTTTTCCGGGGTACGCTCTCTGAATAGCCCTGGTGTCGGCAGTCTGGCTGTTGGTGCCCTTTCCGTGACTTGGCAAAAGTCCCCCACAGGCGCGAATTGAATCAAGTCGCTATCATCATGTTTTTTTTTTTTTTTACCAGTGGCGGTGATGGGAACTCCTGAAAAAGAACGGGATGCGGGGAGCGGGTCGGAAAGGTGGTCAAGGAGACACTGGTGGGATCAATGGAGGTGAGACATCGACGGCATTGGAAGAGTGTTCCTCTAGAAGATGAGAAAAACTATGCAACCATAGCAGCAACGAAACATGGGGGAAAAAGATGGGCCGATAAAAAAAAAAGCACGCCCATATCTATGCATGTATATATATATATATATATATATATATATATATATATATAGTAG